ACTAGATTGTTTTTGTTTTTTTAGTCTTTCAAAAGATAGTTTACAAAAGTCCCAAAGTCATCAAGCAACCAAAATCAGCACAAACTGTTTCATTTAGCACTTCCTTCTTTTAATACTTTCTCTTCCTGGGGTAGAATTCAATTACACAGTTGCAAAGTAATTTTTTGAAGTTTTATTGCAGTTTAATCTCTGATCTTATAAGCTCCAAGCAGTCTCCTTCAACAAATCTTGGTATAAATTATATACCTCTCTTCCTTCCCACTTATACCAAAAAGATTTTAATTTTTAAATGTCAGTGTTTAGAAATCTAATGTCCCCTTGGCTTTAATTTTCAAAGTTAGTTACCTTCTGCTGCCAAAACGGGTATTTCTGATTTCCATCTGCTATCTCTGTAGGGAAGGAAAGTGAGGAGAAAAAAAAACCTTTCCCTTTCACTTTCAACCGCAGCTTTGCAAATCCTCTTGAGAACAATGTATCACTTAAAAAGCCAAAGTTCCAGGGTATTCAGATGTTGATTGTCGTCCCGGTTCAGCCAAAAGCTTTCACTTTCTTCACTTCCTCCTGCACAAAACTTGTCCAGCTGAGAGGTTCTTTGTGGCAGCCATTGCTGACCGCCGCTCCACCGCCTTTGGAAAAGGGAGTTTAACCAGATGGGGAAGGGGGTTGCGATGCCCCCAGACCCCTGCCCGGATCTCCCCTATCTTCAGTTATCCCTACAGGATAACAAATAGCCTCCAAATCCAGCTGGATCGGAGGCACTCCAGCAGCGAGTGCAGCAGAGATCGCGCACAAATGCGAATTCCTGCCGCCTCCGAAGCCTGACAAACCGGAACTCCAGAAATACTAGATTGTTGAAATTAGAAGGACATGATCTGTTGTTGGGGTGGCATGCTTTTTTATGGTATAAAGGAACTAAAATACAGGGGTATTTTAGAAGACATTATGTATGGTAGTCTCTGTGGTTAAACTGGGAGAAGACTAAAAAGCAATGTTATTTGAAAATTCCAGTCTGGCTATCGACTATTGAAGCATTTTCTTATCCTATAATATATAAAAAGGAACAAACAGTTAGATATGGTGAAATATTGAATGAAAAGGGTGAACTTAAATCTATACAAAAATTAGAGGAACAAGGTATAAAGATGAATTGGTTTTCATATGCGCAAATACATTCAAGGTATGATAAAGACTCTAAAACAGAAGGTTTCTATGATAAACTGACTGATTTAGATAAGATTTTGATAGGTACTGGTGAAAAGATGATTAAAAAATTGTATGGATATTTATTAGAAATTAAACTAGAAGAAGAACAAGTTAAAGAAACAATTATTGCTTGGGGGAAGAATTTTGGATATGGGATTGATCTAGAGAAATGGCAAAAATTGTGGTCTCAAAATTATAAAATGACAATGTCAACAGCATATAAAAAAATTTGTATAAGATGTTTTACAGGTGGCATTTTCCCCCAAAAAGAATAGCAAGAATGTTCAAGAATAAATCTGAAAAATGTTGGAAATGTCATCAGATACCTGGCTCATATTACCCTATCTGGTGGACATGTGCGGATGCTAAAAAATATTGGACTAAAATCCACACATGATTGGAAAAAATGACAAAAAAGCATATAGATTTGAAACCAGAGGTATTTTTATTGGGAATTTTACCTGAAATAGATAGTAAAGAACTGAAATACTTGATTGTAAATGTATTAACAGCGGCTAGGATTGTATTTGCTAAAAACTGAAAAAATGAGAAAATACCATCACAGGAGGAAATCATTAAGAAAATCTTGGAATGTGCTGAAATGAGTAGATTGACATTTGAAATCAGAGAACAAGACGATAAACAATATTATAAAATTTGGGATTTATTCTATCAATGGTTAGACAATAAAATATAGTAATGAAATATGTAGATTCTTAGAAAATAATAAATATATAAAGATGTATTCTTTTCTTATTATATCTACAAAATGATTTTAAGATAGATTTGAGATGATAATATGAACTGTCATTATAAAAAATTAAGTAAAATATGATTATTTCATAAAACATGAATGAATAAAAGTTATAGTCAAATGACTGATTAATAATGATATTGATGTATTTAATACTTGATTGAAAATACGAGAATATATAAAATGTAATTGTAATTGAAGACTACGAAATGGAAGCACAAAACATTTTGTAAACCAACTGGCACACTGTATGTATATATATGGAAGGTGGTTATATATCCTCACTTTGGACACCAGGGGGCAATGCTGACACATGAAATACCATGGTTTATGGGTGAGGGTGGGGGAGGGAATAAATCAATTTAAAATAGATAATGTCTAATTTTATGTTGGATGCAGATCCCTCATCTGAGCCTTCCCCAGGCTCCAGGACTGGCCCATGTTCCTTCCCATCGTCCGACTCTTCTGCCAGCTCCACAGACCACAGGTGGACCACAACACCCAGATCCTGGATTGGCTAATCAGGATTCACCAGCATATAGTTATATTTCTAGAATTCTTTTGGAAGAAAGTATCCTGAAAGAGAATGAACTTTGAGGAAAATGGCTTTAAATTTCCAGTTTTAACTTCCCTATTGGTAAAATGATCTGGATTCTGGGAAAAACAAAAACAAAATGTGGAATTTTATCCTTTGCTGTCATGGCAGAAATCTGAAAATGAAACTTCAGGATAAACTTTCTTAATATCCAAACTGTCATTCACATATTGAGGAAAAATCTGGATTTAAAGAATCTCCTCAGAGGATTTCAAAGATATGTCCTCTCCTCACTTTGGACACAGGGGGAAATGTTGACACACAAACTACCACACTTTATGGGTGAGGGTGAAGAAGGGAATAAATCTATTCCAAATAAATAATGTCTAATTTTGGAGGTGTGATAGTTGTTATTTCTGTATTTGTTCCTTGAAAATCTCTGAAAAGAATTCCACCTCTCAAGAGGCCATAATTCTCCCTGTGAAAAAGAAAAGTTTTATTTTAAAAAAAGGATGCAAATCATTTCTGTTTTTGCCATCAAAAAAACTGTTCAGGTAGTTAAAAGCTTTGTTGAAATGCATGCAAATAAATAAATAAATAAATAAATAAATAAATAAATAAATAAATAAA